GGTGGGAAGGCCTCTGCGCCTGCTCCCCGCGCTTCAGGCCGCCCCGCCGCGCTTCGATAGTTACTCATGCCCCTGCCTATCCGGGCACCCGGCTCGGCCGCGGTGTGTCGCGTTGGTCAGTGGGACGGGCCAGGCCGGGTTTGTAACCAGCGCGGGGTGCGCACGAATCCCGGAGCTGGGGCTGAAGTATCACAGAAGACTCTTTAAAAGATGGCTCCAAAAGGCGACCGGCTGTGCGTCAGGTCAGTTAGGCTGAAACTGGGTTTTGTTTTGACAAAATATGAATCAGTTTCCTGACGTGACGTAACTCTCCCGGTTGTTCCGTGTGTAGAAATCGGTTATAAGCAGTCTTTATTTTACAGAAACAGAAGATTTATTTGTTAACTGCACGCAGCTTGTCGGTTTTTAAGTGAAAGTCTTTTTGATACCATTCTCCTCATTATCTCCAAAACAGGAGAGGAGTACAGATGTATTCACTGGTTGTCACAAAGACTTAAAGCTGATCATGACAATGCATAGCACGTACTGCTGTTAAAGATCCTCAGATGGACAAGTGTAGACTGTTAACACTCTTGCACTTGATTGTTTTGTGCTTGAACCTGTACGAGGAATTTCATTAAACAGCAGGTAAAGAAAGGCATACACTTAAGTGTGGTCATTACTCGAACTCTCACCGAGTAATGCTTTTGATTTTTGTAGTTACTACAAAACTAGTAGTAGTATAGCATGATAATTTTTTGTTAGATTTCACTTTTGTTGCTCTTCTCAATGTTTGAGATGGACTGTACCATAGCAAAATATTTCATATTTCACTCCACCTCAGTGCCCTTTCACTTTAGATTTAATTCCAGATAACCTTAGCTACAGCCTCCAATAATTTTTTGCAGCTTATGTCCTTCATGTCCATTCGTAGGACGCAAGGTCTGGAATGGGGCACACACTCTTACCTTTTTCCATTCTTGAGGTCACTCCTAGGTGTGACTGTCTCTGCCTTTTGAGGGAAGGTGAGACTTTTCTGCCTGAGTCAGCTCCTTTCTGCCATTCCTTGCCTTCAAGTTCAGGGCTTCTAGGTGGAAGTAGACCTGAGTTCCCTTGGCAGGGTATCTCCCCACTAAGCCTAGAGTAGCCACATTCCTTTTGATAATTCACTAGAAGGTCTGTAAAGCAGAATTTAGTATAGAATAAGGTTTTGGGGTCTCTAGTCTCAAAAGCAGCTGATATTCCTGGGGAGAAATAGTGTAAACTGGAGGAAAAATAATTCTTTTGCAAAGAAGTGAAAATTAATTTTAGGGTTGGAGCTGCCAGCTCCCCGTTACATGGCTGGAGAAACAGCTGCCTCAACAGATCTCTGCTGGCCTAACTTTCCTTCTGCTGTAGTAGCTCTCCTGTGAATTACAGTGAGCCCAGCATTTCTCTAGCCATTGTTGCCTAACATGGTGTGAAGGTTGACCAAACTGCTGCTGAGGTGTTTTGCAGGGAGGAAGAAGGCGAAAGCAAATTCAAGGCCGTCTATCTCTTCTGTGCTGTGGGTTCTCCACTGTGGGAGCTGTGAATATTTTGCCAGCTCATTGCACTGCTGCTGTTTCTGACAGCATGGTAAAAACCTGCTCTGGTACTGAACTGTGCAGCATAAGTACCTGTTGACACCACTGCAGCCCAAGAGCAAATCTGAACGCAACCTCACCAGGCCTAAGCTGCTGTGAACAGACCAAGCTTTGTGCTGCCCAGATTGGGTGTGCTGCATGTTGGTATAGCAACAGGCTGTTGCAGTGCTTGATCTTTGTGTTCATAGGGACCTTAGAGCATTACAGCTCCAAAATAACTTTATGTCATGTAGCAATAGCTGGTATCTCTCCAACAGTGCACTCTTTTCCTCAACGTTGCACTTTTTTTCTATTTCACCAGATGCAAAAATACAGACAGATAAGCATTCCCTTTCGAATCTTGTCAATCTTGAAATACGGTATTTTCACAGAATTACAGAAAAGTTGAGGTTGGAACAGACCACCAGCATTCAGCTGGTCAGGATGTCTAGACAGCTCTTGAGTATCTCCAGAAAAGGAGACTCCACAGCCTCTTTGTGCAGGCTATTCCAATGCTCAGTCACCCTAACAGTAAGGAAATTCTTCCTCATGTTCAGGTGGAGCTTCCCGTGCTTTAATTTATGTCTGTTGCCTCTTGTCCTGTTGCTTGACATCACTGAGTGTTGATTTTGAGTTTTATGATTGCTCCTACAGCACACTTATTGCATGATTTTCAAGGCATGAGCAATGTGGGAACAGATGCATCAGACTACTGCAAACAATGATCTCGGTCTTCGCTAGTGCTTGAGTGTACTCGGGCTTGGAGTTTGTGGATTTTCTGTTATTTTCATTTGCACTACTCCTCGTTCTCCACAGGGGGGTAGCAAAAGGAAATAAAAGGTCTGATAAAACTACTTCAGTGTTTACATCATCTGTTGTGGAAAGCTTTCTGAGAGAAGTGCTTGATGAGTAACAAAGACATACAGAGCCTTTGCTTGTTGAAATGAAATGTTTGATGAGGCAACTTGTATAGTGGTTGAACAAATGAAGTCTTTCTGAATGTGGAAGTTAAGAAAAAGCTAGAGGAAAAGACAATTGGGTGTGTGCTGTGGAAGGGGACTGTTATATGTTGAAGTCTGGAGGTTTTACTTGAGAAATTTTCTGTCTTTAAAAATAATAAGGAATGGTGGAACTATGTAGAAGTAAGCCATGCCATGATGGCTTCAGTGCAACTCAGCCATGATATCAATTCTTCATCTTAAAAATGAGACAAACTTTGCAATAACTGGCTGCATTGGAGCAGGAAAAAAAAAAAAGTGTAATAGCATTTTCTCTGTGTGTGATAAATAGTGACATTATTTTTAAATACTATCTATTTAAATGGTATTTAGGCTTTAGGTTGTGAAGGCCCTGATAGTACCCATTCCGTACAAAGAGTTAGAAGTGTTCTGAAGTCCAGGGAAAACTTGTCTTTATTGAAAATGGAATTCTCCCTAGAAAGACAAAAACAAGATACTTTTCAATAGTGAACTAGAAACAGGAAAATTCAGATTAATTTTTCTTTAGGTGGAGAATGAAATCACAGGTGAGTTTAATCTCAGTGAAAATATGTGTTTCAAATTACCTTTTGTTTCTTTCCTCTTTTTTACAAAAGAACTGTAACAGATAAGCAAGAACAAGAAATAAGTGTTTACTAAAGCATGACAGATAGGTGGTAATTGTGAGTCACTTCATGCTTGTTCACTACAAGTGGTAAAACACAACAGGACTTTTAGCCTATTTCCTAACGAAATAAAATGTATTTTATTTATGTGGCTTTTTGCTTTGCCCTCTTTTCCATTGCCATTATGTTTGAAACTGTTAGTCAATTTCATTAAAAATTGTGGAAGAAGTACTCGAAAAGACTTCATAAAAGAAGTAAGAGCAAGAGTCTGTTAAAGTTTCTACTTAGAGAAAGGTTGTGAGTTGAATAAAACCTGACACCAGTGTATTTTATTTACACAGTAGATAATTAGTGACCCAGCTGTAGGCAAAGTTTGAATAAGTATTTATACCATCTTAGGTACAAGGCAACCTAATTGTAAATATCTGAAGAAACCCAGCAGTGCTCACAGCAGGCGAAATTGTCAGCAGATTATTTTTGTTTCACTTGTGAAGATGCTATTGAGCCAGCCCCTTTTTAAGCTGTACAGAGACTGCTTGCAGAAGCAGAGAAGGTCTTAGATCTTGGCATGTCAACACAAAAACCTAATTTTTAAAATAAAAGTTTTTCATTATTTTTATGTATAATACTATATATGAATGCCTGGTGTTCAGTATGGAGGTGTCCTAGTTTCAGCTGGGATAGACTTAGTTTTTTTCCTAGTAGCTGGTGCGGCTCTGTGCTTTGGCTTTAGTCTGGGAATAATGTTAGAACACACTGCTGTTCTGGTTGTTTCTAAGTAATGTTTACTCCAATCAAGGACTTTTCAGTCTCATGCTCAGCCAGTGAGGAGGGGCACAAGAAGCCGGGAGGGAGCAGGGACAGGACACCTGGCCCAAACTGGCCAAAGGGGTATTCCATACCACAGCACGTCATGCCCAGTGTAGAAACTGGAGGGAGTCACCCAGAAGGGCAGATCACTGCTCAGGTCAGGCTGGGCATCGGTCAGCAGGTGATGAGCAATTATATTGTGCATCGCATTGGTTTCTTCTGGGTTCTTTTTCCCCTGTCCCCCTTTTAGTTTTATATTCTCTTTCCTTGTTACTTCCCTTATCATTATTATTACTATTAGTATTATATTCTACTTTAGTTACTAAACTGTTCTTATCTCAACCTGAGGTTTTTACATTCTTTTATTCTCCTCCCTGTCCCGCCCATAGAGAAGAGGGAAGGAGGAGGTGAGCGAGTGGCTGCATGGTGCTGAGTTACCGGCTGGGCTTAAACCATGGCAGGTGGTTGTGTATAGGGCTCTTTTCCCCATGCAAACAAACCCCCTTTTGTTATAATGTGCTTTATACAGGTATTTCTCATTCAACGCATTCCTAAATAACATCTTTCATTTTTATATTGAGAATAAACGAATGGACACATCCTTGTGCATTTTCCGTAGTTTTGTTTGTTTAATTTTAAAGAGGAGAATTGTAGTTTAAGAAATTGGCAATTTAAATACAGTTTTTAAAGCAAATAATTTGAAATTTTCTTTCTGGGAAACTGTGCTGGGCATATTATGTTTTATTGATTAGTAGTCTAGCCCCATCTCAAACAGAAAATACATTTTTTAGCAGCCTAGTTAGTTTCTCAGACATGCTGTTAAATTGCATGTAATCTCAAGAAGACTGATATGTACTTTTCTGTGTAAGATTGGAATTATTGGTGGAACTGGCTTGGATGATCCAGATATCTTAGAAGGAAGAACAGAAAAATATGTCGACACTCCTTATGGCAAGGTCTGTATAACTTTTTTTTTTATTGAGACTTTTGATGTTTTAAAAGATGTTTATATTCTTTAAGAGTTTTCAGGCTGCTAAATGAATGCATAAAGCAAGTACTGGCACAAGACTATTTGCTATGTGTTGTGTGATTCTTGGTTTGTGAAAACAAGGTGTTACAGAGATGATGTGCAAAGGAGACTATACCTCTTCTCATTTGTATATTAGATGAATTTGCAGACTCAGTCCTCAATTCGCAGTCAAGAGGGATAAACCCTCTCTTTCAAATTTGTGCTGTTGTATGAGATGAAGTGTATGTCAGTTCACTCCAGAAACCTTTCTGAATTGCAGAAAACTGTCCCTTGAGGTACGTGGGCCACCATTTTCCCTCTAACACTGAATTATGCTTTAAATACCAATGCTCTCCTTACAGTCATGCTTATAACCACATAATTTGAAACTGATTTGAAAATAAAACTGGTTTGGGGGCACAGGTGTTCTTGACCAACTCTCCTTCATGTTGCTTCAGCACATTTCCTCAGCAAAAGAGTGAAGGCTAGGGGTGTTGCTGTATACACAGTGCTGAGTGTGATGAACAATTGCTGCCTGAAAGCATTTCAGTAGGAACAGGCAAGACAAAGACGGAGAGTTGCATAGGCAGGAAATGAATAGGGAGAGAAAGGTTCTAGTTGGCACAGGAAGTTCAAAGAAGAACTGTATCTCAGTTACTCTGTAATGGCATAAGACATGGGGAGTCTGGGTGCTTTATCTGAACCTGAATTACATCCTATGAAATCTACCAGTGTAAGCTAGTATACATATAATAAAACATCTGGCATGTGGTAACAAGAGACATTTTATGGGTAGAAGCTTGCCAGAAAGCTCAGCGCTGTGATGTGTGATTGTAAATCTGAATCCGTGCCCCTGTTCAAAATGGTTTAAGGGGAAAATAAGAATGTAAAGAGCAAGCAGAGTTTGTGTGTGTACCATTTAAGAAGGGGAAGGAGATAAATATTAAGGGAGGATAAATACTAAGGGAGTAAACATGATCAGTAAACGTGATCTGTCAACCGTTACATTTTGTTCACAGAGAGTCCTTGAATTGTCTTTTGCTTTGGCCTTCTGAAATCATAAGAATCATTTAATAACAAAATTTACATCATTAAGGAATGTGGGGATATTTTTTTTTCCATGTGAAATATGGAAAAGTTTAAAGGAAATTAGTATGAAAATTTTTGCAATTCTCTATACTGGCATTGGTCCTTTCATGATATTTCAAGTTACATTACTAGTACTAGTGAAAATGTGGTACATTCATTTTTTATTAAATAAATAAGCTTACACCTGTTAATATTCCAGCTGTCTTTTCTGCCTTGTCCACTTTCACCATTTTCATTGCATCCAGAATTTGGTATTCTGTGGAAAGTACCCTAAAATCTTTTAGCATTCCATTTCCAGATAAGGTAAATACTGTTCTTTTCTAGGATAAGAAAATTGCTTGCAACAGCATTTATATTCATCATTAAATTTTGATGCAGATACACTTTCAGTTAGATTGGTTTACTTCCTGGATGACGGAACTTGGTTCTGAAATATCTTTTGCCAAATCAGCAAATATCTTCCTGTTCTACAAAATTATTTTAGGTGCCCACTTTCTTTCTTTGGTCACGCATGTATCTGGCAAACAAACCCCGAGGTGGGGGGGGAGAGGGTGTCCACCTTGTGAATGAAAGTCAGACTGTGTGACATAACGCTTAAGCTTCTCATCGGCCTCTCCAATGTACATTGCTTGGTTCCTAAACTAGATCACAGATAAAATGAAGGCTTGAGGAACCTGTGAGATACTTTCCATCTCAAGTTTTCCTTATTTATTTCGCTTGTTCATTCTTTTTACTGTTCCATCTTGCTTCTGAGGTAAGAGCAAGGAAAAAAAGAATTCTGTAAGGATCATATGAACAATACGTATATTCATATTGCAGACAAAGGAGATTTATTTCAGTTGTTTGTTAACTGTTGTCATTTAGGGTTAATTGCCCATGGTTCTTTGCTTCCTTTTCTGTTTTGCAACACTGGGTAATATATATCTGACATGGATTTTCTGGAAGGGGGAAGTAGTTAAATACATATATGAATTATTAATGTTCGAGAACTTTTTGTTGGGCCTTTTATTAAATCCTGCTTTTAAAATACTGAGCTTTAAATTCAGATTGTTCCATTGGAAGTTTTGTTAATTTATCAGCACTTCAAAGCTTCTGACTACAACTGAGATAATAGTAGAGAGGTACAGCATTGGAAAGAACTTGTGGGAGAAGGAGAGAGGAACAGAAGCATGCAGTAACTCTTACATGGTTAACACATACTTTGAAGTTTCTGTATCTTTCACTTCCTTATAACTTTTACAGACACTGATTTATCCTTATTTCCTCTCTTTTAATGACCCACGATACAGTATCTCCAAATTATTCACTTAAACCATCAGTTCATCATTTAGCAGCACATTCTTTGCTCCAAATCTCTCTATTTTGCTGCCATATTTCTAGCAATCGTGTGCAAGAAGGGTGTTCAGGCAGCCACCGGGAAGATGCCCTCAATGTATTCTATGGAAATATGTGTAAAGATGACAACCAGGCCTGTTACACAGCCACCCTGAAGCCTTTTGAAATTACTAGGATGACAGTAGATAGGGAAGGAAACTCTGGCTGCTGCAGCTAGAGTCTGAAGCCTGCTGGATTTCAAAGCTGTTGTATTTTTTCTGAATCAGCAGTGTACACCAGAATTCAGTGGAGTTCTGTGGCGGGGATGGACATCAAATAGAAGTTAAACTACATCTTTCTACCCCAAATCTTTTGAAAATTGAAATAAACTTGAACCTATCACTTGCAATAAACTTTGAATCTGTCACTTGCAAAGAAAAGAAAAGGGTCCAGTCTTCAATTTACTGATCTTTTAATTTTCATAATCTCATAAGGTTTGATAAGGCCAAATGCAAGGTCCTGCAGCTGGGCCAGGGCAGTCCCCAGCATCAATGCAGACTGGCAGAGGCTGGATTGAGAGCAGCCCAGAGGAGAAAGATTGGAGGTGTTGGTTGACAAGAAGCTCAACATGAGCTGGCGGTGTCTGCTGACAGCCCAGAAAGCCTACTGTATGCTGGGCTGCATCAGCAGAAGCGTGACCAGCAGGTCAAAGGAAGTGATCCTGCCCCTCTGTTCCACTCTTATGAGACTCCACCTGCAGTACTACATTCAGCTTTGGGACCCACAACACAGGAGGAACATGGACCTGCTCAAGCAAGTCCAGAGGAGGCCATGAAGAAGCTCAGACGGCTGGAGCAGCTCTGCTGTGGAGACAGGCTGGGAGAGTTGGGCTTGTTCAGCCTGGAGAAGGCTCCAGGGAGACCTTAGAGCAGCCTTCCAGTGCCTAAAGGGGTCCTACAAGAAAGCTAGAGAGGGACTTCTTACAAGCACCTGTAGTGACAGGAGAAGGGGGAGTGGCTTTAAGTCGAAAGAGGAGAGATTTAGATTAGGTGTAAGGAAGTTCTTCCCTGTGAGGGTGGTGAGGCCCTGGCACAGGTTGCCCACAGCAGCTGTGGCTGCCCCAGCCCTGACAGTGGTCAAGGCCAGGTTGGATGGGGCTTTGAGCAACCTGGTCTAGTGGAAGGTGTCCCTGCCTGTGGCAGGGGGTTGGAACTGGATGAGCTTTAAGGTTCCTGCCAACCCAAACTATCCTATGATTCTTTTCTGAGAACAAGTTACTGTAAAAAAAATAAACAAAATATCCTACATCAACTAAGCAACAGGTACATGCTGCTTATTTTCAAGTTTGTGTAGCTTTTTTTAAAATACTGTTTCAAAGTATTTGAAAGTATTACTGTTTCAAACCCTGAAGTACAGAGTTGCAATATTAATGTTGGCAGGAGCACATTAAAATTGTGGTGTCGCATTTGATCTGCCTATTCTAACCTGCCGTATCAAATTACAGAGCCGAGCTGAAGAAAATGTGAGTCTTCAGTGGTAACCAGTATTTCCTTTCATAACTATACTGCTTATTTTTAAGTAGTAGTTAAGTTTTCTAATGTGATTGTGAGGCTGTAACTCATTGTTATTTGCTTGTTTTGCAGCCATCAGATGCTTTGATATTGGGAAAGATAAAAAATGTGGACTGTGTGCTGTTGGCAAGGTAAATGAGCATTTTGAGAGAGTTTGTATTATGTGTCGTAAAGTTTTCTCAGAAGTTGCTTTTTACATTAGGTGAGCTGAATTTTTACTCTGACTTCATCTTGTTCTGTGTGGGTTTGTTTTTTTTCCTGAACAAATTTGATGCTGCAGGGACTAAAAGCATTAAAAATACCATCTAGGTTAGGAAAGGAAGTGCTGCCTGCTCTTGTGATAGGTAAGTAGTGCCTGGAAACCTCAGTAATTCATCTGCTCTCTGTATTCAAAAATTTCCTTCATGAAACTTGGAAATTGCCTGTTTCCAGATGAATTATATCTCTGGTATCACTGTAGACTCTTCCAAACCATTCCCTTTTATTATTGAGTCCTCTGACTGTTACCTTGATTGCCTAGGAGTCTGCATCCACTCTAGTTGTCTTTCCCTGGGTCATTTTTATTCAGACATCTCTTAAAGAGACTCTGGAAGTAGGGTCTGCACTTGAGTGTATGGAAATACCACACTAGTATAAACATGGACATCTAGGACCAGTGTGCTACTAGATTAAACATAAGAATAGTAAAACAGTTCTCAGCATCTGGACAGCATGGGCAGAGCCAGGTGCTGATAACAGTGTCCATCAGCAGTTCACAGGTGGTGAATCAAGTCCTGGATCCATCCAGGGAGTCCAGGCAGGAGTAGCAGCAGATGTAGGAGCAGTAGGGCCAAAGGCAGGGTTGGAGACAAGGCTGCAGCATGTGTCTAAAGTCCATCCAGAAAACATGTATGGAGGCAAGCTACAGCATAGGTCTGAAGGCCATCCTGGAGGCAGGGCTGGGGACAGGCACACCTGTGACATAGCTGAGGCCAGGAGTGGAGGCTGGGACTTAGCTTAGAGGTGGGAGGACCTAGGCTTGTAGGCACTGAGTGTTTGGGTGGAGTGTGAGGCTGGCCAGGGCAACTATGACCCAGTGGTGCACTCAGGGCCTCAATTCTTTTCATGACAGTATTTTTCCATTAAGCTACTCAGTGTTAAGCATTTCTGCAACTACACATCTGTCTGTGGTTTTACTTTTCTTATCTTGTGTGGACTTTGCTCACGTATTTTATTACACCTGGACAACATTTTTCTGATTTTCTCAAATGCTAAGCCAAGATCTCATAGCTGTGCTATGTTAAAGTAAACCTTGGGCTACAGATGGCTGAACTTAAAAGCTGTGGTTTACATCCACACTGGGATTTATGACCATTCATATACAACCCTCATGAGTTTCCTTCTGGGGCTAAGGAACTTGCAACTTCACTTTGTATTTTGGGAAAAATAGCACAAATGCTTGAGAATGTTAGATTTTTTTTTTTTAAAGGCATGCATATTCTTGAAGAGGATTTTGACAACAAATGCAACTTTAAAAAATAAATTTACATGCCTAGTAACTTACCAGAAATGCTAATGACAACATGGGAAGCTTGTCTGACAGTCCTTGGTCATGTTGTGTGCTATGTCCAGTTCCCAGCTGATTTAAGTTCTTAAGACTTTCTGGTCTCTGTGAAAAGAATCAATTGGAAAATTAAGTTCCTCCTTTCCTCTTGAATGGTTGAAAATAACTTTCAAATGCGTTTAGTCACTGAGTGATACACCTCTGTAGACATGACAGAGGTAACACAAAAGCTCGTGCTTACAAGACTAAGTGTTTCCTGTCTTGGTGAAAAAATACACTGCAACAGTGTGAAGTGATTCTTCTAATCTATGAAAGCTGTCAGATCATTTTAAGAGCAAAGAGATGAATGTGATGATTCTACAGCGTTCTTTGGGAAGGTAACTTTCTGTTCTTTGTGTCATTAATTTTCTGTGATACATTGTTGTTTTCCGCGTAGGAGAATACAAACCACACTTCTGAGCAGAAAATTTGTAGAGGTGTATATAAATCTTAGAAATTTGTTGTAGCGTGTGGAAGATTAAATTTGCTACAGTGGATTTTCAGAATCTGTGGAACTGACAAAATTCAGAGAAAAATGCTTTTTGTACTTTTGAAGCTGCTAAAGTGTATTTGGATCATATTTTCAAGTTTCTTTTCATTTCAGTCTTGAACTTAAAAATTTTCATTTAAAAAGAAAACTGTACCAGTGCTTCTTAAATCCAGTACTGAGAGAACCTTAATACACTTAGGAAAACAAGATACACTGAAGGCAACTGAAATGATTCTACCTCCAGTGTTCCACCTCGAGTGTTGTTAGGGAAATCACCTTTCCTGGAATTCTCTTTAACTGGGAGAAGGAAGGCAATTTCAGTCTGATTTATTTTACTCTCCTGCAACATGTATCTTTGCAGACATGGAAGGCATCATACAGTTATGCCATCAAACATCAATTACCGTGCCAATATCTGGGCACTGAAAGAAGAAAATTGTTCCCATGTATTAGTGACTACTGCCTGTGGTTCATTACGAGAAGAAATACAACCTGGTGATCTTGTCATAATTGACCAGTTCATTGACAGGTGAGTAACATTTGGGCTTCATTGTGTTCTTAGTTCTGGGGGAGAAAAATAGGAAAAGTGAGGTTAAACTGTATAATAACATGTTAATGTTAAATCATTTTTTTTTTGTGTGGAATGAGGTGATAGCCTTAGTTCTTATGGCAAAAAGTACCATTCCTACAAGAAGACATGATAGGAATCAGGAATGAGATTACAAGAAGTTCAGCTCTAACAGACATGGAAATAAAACCAGGCTTTGAAGAGTGGCCTCGAACAAACTAACATGTATCTCCTTTGGAAGAGTCTTCCGAAGGGAATTTATCTCCTATTCTCAGATGTGGGAGAGGAGCATGAAAAAGAGCGTAGGCTGTTATAAATTTTAAGAATCTGAAAGGAGATGGGAAGGTGCAAGTAAACATAGTAGGAGCCAGGTAGGATACATATATATACAATAGTAATGAGGCTCTACGGAAGAGACATCAAATCCAACACAGTGCATAAAGACAGGAAGTTGTTTTAAAACCAGGATAGATGCTAACATTTTTTTATTTACGAAGAATCATAAGGGAGTAAATTTTTTTTCAAAGTCTGTGTACTCCAGCCAGTCCTCCTCTCTTTAATTATCTGACCTTCAGAAAAATTCAAGCGGGGGGGGAGGGGGTTGGAAGCCATATTTAAAGATCACCAACTACATCAAATATTTCAAAAATGTAGTTGCACTTTTTAAGAGGTAAATCTGTTATTTGTACTTACAGGTGTTGTATATCTGGAAGTCTTATTTAGGTATTCCACCCTATTTTAAGTGGAACTGTTTGTGTAGCTTCTTTGTGCTTTTGTGAGACTATCGATAATATTTTATTGCTAACTGAAATGTATACCTAGGTTTGTTCTCTCCTGTGTTGGGGGCCCAGAGAGGTACTGGAGTCCCCATCCTTGGAGATACTCAAAAGTCACCTGGACATGGTCCTGAGCAACCAGTTCTAGGTGGCCTGGCGTAAGCAGAGGGTTGGACCAGATTACTCCAGAGATCTCTTCTAACCTCAGCCATTCTTCAACTCTGTGGTCTGTGATCTTCATTTAGAGTTTATTCAGATGGTCACCACTAGTAATGCATAGCCCATATATGAGCAGTGTTTCATTCAGGCAATTAAGTTTTCATTTCAGTGTAGAAGAGTGGGAACTTTTGGAGACTTGTTTCATGCTTCATGAAACCAAGAAGCTACTCCAAAAAGCATTTGAGAATGTTTCAGTGTGGAAAACAATATATAATAGGAATTCAAAAATCATTACTAGCCTACCCTTTAGTTCAGAAAACTGAATTAAAAACAAGTCTTAATAGTCTGTTTCATTTGACAGTTTAATTTCTCTGATAAGTGTTTTTGCCTGAGAACCTTTGCCAGTGGGTGTTACACTGCTGGCTCTTTGGTGGGAGGGTCTGCATTTTTGCCTTTCACAGAGCTGCATCATCTGTAAGAGGATGTTTTAAGTTTGTATATATAGTGCTAAACATAGTGGGATTTCTTTATTAGACCATATAGTAATGTGGCCATTCTCTCCAAAGAACACAGGGTATCTGAAAGTCAAAGATTAATATTTATACATATGTGATCTTTCCTCAGGGCTTTTCTAAGTGAAAGGGCCTGTCCAACAACATCTGAAATATTATAATGCATAAAATGGATTACAACTTTTCCCATTTACTTCAATTCTAAATAAGTCATTTGCAGACACTGAAAAGTGTATAAAATCAGATACATTCTGTTAGAAGCTTTTCAGTATTCCATAAAGGGAAAAATAATTTTAGAGTTTCAACCAATTTTAGCAGCTATATCCAATTTTATGTATGTTTTTAGTTTGCTGATCTCTTTTCCTATTTTATTATTTCATTCTTAAGGCTATGCTACTCTTTCTTTTTCTTTCTTTTTTTTCTCTCCCCCACCCCCCCGATCTACTCTAACATACGTAACATATTTCTTTTAAAAGTAACAGCAGAAATTTTGTGTTGTAACTGTGGATTGAATTTGACTGTTGCCTTACTTTTCTCCTATAGAGTACAGTATTTGACACACTGAGGGGAAGAAAAGAATGTCTCAGATAATTTTGTTCCAGATGGGTTTTGCCATACGATTAGCTGAATTAGCTTGAGGCAGTACATTTGAAGGTAAAGTGATGATGGGCAACAGTCCCAGTAGTTGTCAGAATGGCATGCTGAATGGCAATTTCTGTAGCATTTGACCATTTCTATGCAAGGAAACAGTTTCTGAATTGAAAAAATGAAGAAAAAAGATTCTTCCACTTGCAAGCTACCAGTGCATGTATGTGATCTTTCTGAGAATATGAAGACATCCTGTTCCAGGGTTTTTCTGGTTAAATTCACACCCCTCTTGTTCAGGAAGCTGTTCCTATAAACTCTCATCTTTTCAATTTAGAAACGCAATTATATGATCAAGCTCTATATTGGCTAGCTTGATTCAGGCTTGATTCTTTTCCGTCCTGGAAGCTTACCATGCTCTCCTTGTTCAGAGATTACTTGCCTGACTATTAAATGTAGCTTATATCTTCTGGGCAGAATGGCAGCATAATGTGGCAGTTTGTGTAATTTAGGAATAAATCGGCTTTTCAGTGTGTTGTTAACGACAGATTTTCTCTAATTAATTGACAATGCGCAACTGGAGTAACAGTTAACACTCTTCAACTCAATTCTGAAAGGTTTGTACAGGTAGTCATTAATATCGTACTGATACTTCTGTTCTGTTCCAGGAATACTATGTTTTTGGATTTGTGTAAATATCTTGCTTTGTCTTCTGTTTTCTCCCTGTTCTTCTCGATGACCATGTTTTCTGCTTTTCCAGGACAACTAAAAGACATTGTACTTTCTATGATGGACAGCATTCCAGCCTTTCAGGAGTGTGTCATGTTCCAATGGCAGAGCCATTCTGCGCCAAAACCAGAGAGGTTAGTGAATTTTGTAGTAGTATTTAGAAATGTTATTTTTATGGCACTTTTTTGTGATACAGTAGCATAATTATGCATTATTAGAATACAGAAACAATCTGCATCTCCTTATTCCAGTTTCTCAGATATGTCATGGTGTGAAGGAAAAATGTAACATTTGGAAAGCATGGAAAGTAAAAACCTTGTTTCTACAGGAGCTGTCTTCCTAAGGGAAATGTGCAGAAAATGTCAGTTGGCAACCGAGATTTTCCCAGGATCTTAGTAACAGGACACAAGATCTTTATTTCATGTAACCAGAGAAGAAAGCAACAGAGTGGACAAAGCATGAAATTAAAATTAGGAATTAATTAATTTTTGTTCTGCATAAAACTGCACCTCTGGTAGAGGCACTCTACATACTTTATACAAAGAACTAAATAAATAGTACTTTAGTATTCACAGAAATTACAGTATTGCATTTGTGCTTTTGTATGTTGTAGCAATGGGTGGCAGTGGAGAGGCAAAGCTTAAAGGATGTTAAACATAGAAACAAGCCAAATTACAGTAGCCTTTTATTCTTAACTGTTGCTCTTAGTGTTATCATTTCAAGATTTTCAGGCTTCAAAACACTTAGACTAGGCAGTGTTGGAACACTGCTTCGTTTTTCAGCACCCTTATGAGCTTCTGGGAGGAGGGAATCCTCCCATATTTAACCATATTGTGGTTAAATATGCCACCTTAGTATATTCTGAAGAGTTGAGGACCTGTTAGTCCACAGCATTGTTAGTAGAGAAATGCTTCAGTGCACTTGGAATCTAGGTATTTTGCAGTGAAGTAAAAATATTTTATATCTCATGAGGAAACAAACCACTACATAGTATACATGTGCATGCTTTTGCCCTTCCTCCATTGAGCAGCAAATTATACAAAATACTTTGAATTTTCATGCAACAGGAGCCTAGCCACATGCTGTTACCGAAAGTTAGTTGATACGTAGTTGCTTACTAACTTTGAGCATGATGTCATGTCACAACAGATACCAGAAATTTATGGAGAGCTGACTAACTGTACACTTTCTGAAATTGATTAAAACCAGTGTTATCACTGAAGTGATGGGCAGTATTTCATACTGTGTCTTTCTCACTTTTTTGACAAGATAAGTAGGTATGTGTAAGCTGTTACCTGAAGTTGCAGGAAATACATGCCAAGGCTAGTTTTCATTTGATAGTTGAGTAGCTAGAGACAATGTTCTTTGGGAGTCACTTTTTTGAAAAATAACAGAGAAATGTTGCTTTTTAAACAGAGAAAAAACATTTAGGTACTTCCCAGTCTCGCATGTGATCATTGTCTCATTAGCCTATGTGTTCTAATCAGCCTAACAGATGTTTTAAAGAACATGAGAATATGTGGTTTTGAGCTCTCAGTGAGGCTGAAAATGGATACTTTCACTTTATTTGAAAAATACCAGGTAAAAGAGACTTAAACTTTTTTCCTGGAACTATCCCTAAACATGGTTGGGATAATTTCAGCTCACTATCTTATCTTAGTTCAGGGGAATTTCTTAGATAAAAGCAATAATAATAAAGTTAAAACTATTAATGTAATAGACTAAGGAATTTTGCATGAAAACATCTGAAAACTTTATATTAAATTGCATTTGTGTAAATACATGAAAATATTGTTTTATTTGCTTTATGCTCTCTAAATTAAATGAGAATCTGAAAGAAGTTTACCTTTTCTCTGATTGTAAAGTTTTTAATAATTTGGGGTGCCTTGGTTATTATTACTTTCAGAAACAGGCTCACTGCAACAACTTATAGAGAGTAAAGCTGGAAATTTGTAAAGAGTTTCAGGGAAAGGCTGTTCAAGTGTGGTTTAAGTCAAATCACAAGTTGTCTATTGATTTATTAATAACATGTAATTAACTGGCAATAATTGAATAATATATTCACAATATCAGCAATAAACCACAATATTATGGGTGATTAATATTAACTTACAGCGTGTTAATAAACACCTACAAATTTTTAAGCGTCCTCTGTGGCTAATCCCCAGAAGCTGTGCTTTAACCCTACACTCATTTTCACACAGTCGTGTGAACAAATACCATTTCCCAGCACATGTGGGTTACATGCACACCTGTCCTCTTCTGTGAGTGCAGATTCACCTGGAGTGGGAGCTGTGGATACTCCAGCTTTATGTGTACTTGTTCTGCTCCACACAATCCACTGATCCACATGTTAGCAAAGAGACACCCCGCAAGGTCACACAGCACACTCAAAGTATTGCTGCTTGTTGCACCTGTGTATGTTGAGTGCAGGCTTCTAACAGGATTTTTTGCAGGGAGGCTGCTCCACCTGGACTGTGTGAGGGTTATGAGGCTGACAAGCCAGCTTCTAGTGGTGTCAGACTAGGTTTTCACTGCTGCTATGTTACAAAGGTCTCTCTTGTCCTGTCACAATTTTTCATATTGCTTTTATACTTCTTTTCAAGCTTTTCGTTTCTGTTCATAGTAATTTTAAACAAACGTCATTGTAGTTACTTTCCCCTTCCTACTCAGGACAGTTACGGGTGTCCTGGTCTCATTTACATTTACTGGTACCCTCTTATGCCTGCTGCGTCAACTGGCATTAGCCAGGCCATTTACCAAGAGGGAAAGTCATTATGATTTTGCCATATACAAGGTCCTGGTTGGAACTGTAAAGGCTAATGTGAAGTATGTGCTATGTGTACAGTATGAAGTATGTGTACCGTGTGAAGTATGAAGTATGTGGTGAAGTATACAGTTCAGTCACTGGCATGGGAAAATGCAGTAATAATGTCTCTACAGATTCCCAGGGTACTCTTTGAAGTATGTGCTTCATAGCTTGTGCTTTACAAGCACATAGTATATGCTTGTGAAGTCTTACTTTCAAAAAAGTAAATTTCCAATTACTGTTCTCACCAGCTAACCTCCTCCATATGGTAGTGCTCAGTGGTGCATTTTCACCATTCTGTTCTCAATGTAAACACAGCCTAAATACCATGCAAAAATTTTCTGTTTTCCAATCTTCTCGATCTGCATTGAAAACAGTAATCCAACTGATACTAAAAAAATCAGAGGAATTCAAGATCATTCCTGTTAGTAGGACTGTTAACATCTCTTACTGCATGAGAAAAGTGAAACTGATCCTTGGTTTTGGACATCTTTAGCTATATGAAGCTTGACTTCTTTGTATAAAGCTTATTTCTTTCGTATGCAAGTTTTTCAGTGGGTTGCAGAAGTAGTGCACCAAGGGAATTATTTCCTTTTCCTGATATTGGCATGTTTTGCAGGTTCTTATTGAGACCGCCAAGAAGCTGGGGCTCCAGTGTCATTCTAAGGGAACAATGATCACAATTGAAGGCCCACGTTTCAGTTCTCGAGCAGAAAGCCTTATGTTTCGCAGCTGGGGAGCTGATGTTATCAACATGACCACGGTGCCTGAAGTGATTCTTGCGAAAGAAGCTGGAATGAGTTATGCTAGTATTGCCATGGCAACAGATTATGACTGCTGGAAGGAACACGAAGAAGCAGTGAGTAGAACTTTTTTCGTCTGGGTCTTGTCCTGAGGGATCTGGATGAGAACCTGTAGGTTTTGGTAAGAGATCACATACGAAATACATCAGTATCGCTGAGTCATTCTGGTTGAACAATTGCAAAAGTAAGAACAGAATCAGTTGTTGCTACCTCATTCATTTTCATAAACTGGCCTAACTACTAGCAAAATTTTTTTCTACTCTCACCTGAATCACAAAATCTGTGTGTATGAAGCTCATGAGCTCTGTATGATTCGTCTTCCCATAATCTGTCTAGTGTTTTGGGGTTTGTTTGCTTGCTTATTTTTTCTTTTGCAGCTCTGTGCAAAACAATGTATCTGCTTTAGTTTTCCTATTTGTGTAAAATACAATCAGACATACACCCAGAGGAAAGAAGTTTTTACTGGCTAAAAATATTGTGCATTTTAAGGCTTCACTTTTTCACTTAGAGGTGTATGAGTTAAATTGATTTGTTTGGGTATTTAAAATGTGTGCCATCAAAATTAAGAGACATCACTCAGTTTTATTGTATTTCTAGGTTTCAGTGGATAAAGTTTTAAAGACACTGAAAGGGAATGCGAATAAAGCTACTAGCATACTCCTTACTGCTATACCTCAGATAGGTTCCATGGAATGGACCGACACCCTGCACACCCTTAAAGTAAGTACACACAATGCTGATGACTACTGGGGACAGTGTATGCATTTATACATGTAATATAGGTATATGTTTCAAGATGTTTCTGCTGAAGTCACAGCTTCTTGGAGCAGATGCTTCAACAAGTCAAATCATTCAAGATGAGTAAACAAATCCATACAAGATTCTCACAAGCTTTATTGCAAAGATCTAGCTTCAGTTTTACAAACAGAGTTACAAGAGGTAAAAAAATTAGGAACATCTGTATATGTTTGATGAAGTATTATCCTTCATAGCACAGGTAAGATACAAGCCCATGTGAGTATCCAAAAGAAAAACACGTACCTCTACTCAGTTTTAGCTTAGATCTTCAGAACTGTGAAAATCCAAGCAGAGCAAATGGAACCAAATTAAAAACATTGTGCTTTCTTTAATATGTAGAAAGAGAGGAGTCTCTTAAATATATGGATAATAAACAGATTGAAATACTTAAAACTGTGTTCTCCCATAGGTTTTAGATCCACAAAGCATAAAAAAAATGGCAAATAAAAACATTTCAGAATATACTGATGAGGGAATTTGGGGGCAGATTTTTTTTTTGGACAAGAGTTTACTTAACTGTTTTAGATCACCTCTAATGATGGCATGCTTGACATTCATTTGTGACTATAGCATAGAGGGAAATAAAAATGTTAAAATAATGTGGATATCTATGCAACTTCTCAATAAGCTTTTTGTGACAATTAGCCGCTTCCAAGAGTAAAAGAGTATGAAGTGTGAGAGCAGCTGAGGATTACATTGAGATGGTGTGGGAGTCAGGAATATGGAGGACAGCAGACAGAAGTGGGCTACAGGGATCTCTGTTAGTGAAAGCAGCAGCAGTCTAAAAAGGAGAAAGCATGTTGAGGAAAATTTTGAGAGTCCATTCTTTAGTAACTCTCTCCTCTCTTGGGTTCTTTCTTTCTCTTTTCTGAGAACCTATTTTTTATTAGAAGGTCTTGTATTATGTCTATGACTCTTGTCATCCAGTTATCTGAAATTTTAATGTTCCTTCTGTACATTTATGAGAGTTAGCTGACTTTTCCCTTTCCCGATTTCAGTCTTTAGGAAGTTGTGTCATGGATGGATAAGGGGAAGCAACAGAATTGGTATTCCTTCTCCCCTTCTACTCCCCAGACGATATTTTCAGAGGGCTAGGGCCACACTTCTTGGTTTTGTTTACAAGGCATATATATGCTTTGTATACAAAGAAAACCTCTCAGAGTTTGAATAAATAGTCTCAAAAGAGGTGCTAGGTATTCCTCAGCTACTTTGCCACGCTGTCATGCAAGAAAATTTTCCAAGTGTATAATGCTGCTTAAGTATTGAGGAATCTGTCTCCAATTTTGACAAGTGTACTGGAGTAAGCAGTGTCCTGTTCCATTCATTTGCATGATTATCGTGATTCTTCATCAGGAGTGAAAGAGCAGGTCACTGGAAGGACGTGGTACTGAGGTTGCAAGGTTCCCCTGTAATAAATGCAAACCCTTCTTTCAGGTCATTACAGCTGTGTAGAACACCAGTTCAAGTGGTTCATCCAGCTGAGCCCCTGAACTATTTGCTGCAAAGAAAATGTGCACCAGAGGAAGGGTCACTCCATTCTCGTGTGCCTTCTTAAGAAAGTTTACGCTTTCTCTGAAGCATCTGCTACTGCCTGATCAGTGATGAATATTGAGCTAATTTTGCTTAAACGTGGCAATTCTTTTGTGTTTAGGCTCTTTGCTGATAGTGGCTTGGTTTGAGTGATAACATACTGAGAAAGAATGTTGGTCTGAAAGCATTAGAAGAACTGAAAATAGGAACTTGGTATGGGCAGTGAGGATTGAGATCTTATGTCAGGAGGCTAGGAGTCTTTGATTGGTTTTAATTTAACCAAATACTCTGGAAAAGTGACAGGAAGTCTGAGGCTTTGGAGGCTTCCTCTGATTTTACTTAGTAAGGGAAGAAAAGGCTAAAACTTTGCTTGAAGCATTAAATGGTGCTAATGTAGATGAGGGATTGGTCCTAGGCTTCTATGTTAATGAATAAGGAGAGAGGCAGTTTTGCAACACAGCAAAGAGACATACGTATGTGCCTCTGTATGGGTGTGTAGTTGAACCATAAAGAGTTTTAAAAAACTATTCTCTTTGTAGATATGTTCTTCTGTGTGTATTACCTGGGAATTTTAAAGGTCAGATTATGGGAGTTTTTGAACTCATCTTTTTTGGAGGCACCTTTTCCTAGAGCTTGAAGGCAGTGCCTCTTGCATGTCTTGCAGTAATGTGGTAAGGAATGCAGACAAGGAGGGAGCTGAGCAAAACTGCAGGTGGTACTCTATTAGTGATGATGTAAAGCCATGCCAGCCTATATCCAGGCCATAGCTGGGCATCTCAAATGGGCATTTGCCAGTGTCTTTCTAGTGTCTGGGAAAGCCTGTGAAACCATGCCTACATAGACGTAGCTTTTCCTCTCTGAGTTCTGTAATTTGGCTGCTATGACTGGAGGAACTTCACCAGGCAGGAGAAGTTCTCTAAGTTTGTCTCTTTGCCTGGCAGCTGTCTCCTCCCATATATACCTTTAGACAAAGGTTTCTATTCTTGAGATCTGTACTTCAATATGGATGAAGAAACATGTAGAAACCTTTTCTCTTTTTTTTTTTTCTTTTTGAAGGAACTTCATTTTCAGGGCATTCTGATTATATTTGTAAAGAGCTTTCTGTGAATGTGATGTAGCCAGTATGCTAGCCTTAAAAACGAAAAGCAAGCTGCTGTGTTTCATTTGTAGCCTGTGAGCCTAATGTCTTTAATTTAGTGTTTCTTCAATATCATTGTTGTTCCCAGTACCAGTAAGCCTGTTACATAGGTTTAAGAAGTTGTAATGACAAGGCCTTGAACTGTTGGAGGGTATCCTCTCCCTGTAATTTTTGTGGTGATAGAGGAAGTTGGAAATACCATACACATGGAAAGAGTTGCACACGTTTGTAATCCATATGGAAGCTATGTAATCTGGCTTTTATGTTGAAAAATAATTCTGCTGTGTATTGGCAGAGGAAGCATTCACCTACTTCGTCTTTGTATTTCAGACGACAGTGCAGTGTTCGGTCATTCTGCCAAAACAGTAACAGCCTGGATGGATCTTGAAGTTCAGGCGCTCACAAGGAAGAGTGGATCACTCTTGAATTCCAGAGGTTATAGTATCTTCAAAAACTCTTACAAGCATAAAAGACTAGAGTAAACGTTTACCAATGATAATGTATAAGACAACTTTTATAATCTTTATCATGCTTGAAAAGGTATAAGATGTTGGCATGCTGTCTTCAGTGACACCTTTTGGTTGATGGAAGAAAGGACAGGCTAGGTGTTCCTGTTTCATAAAATCAGAACTAAGAATGCAGATTCACAGGTAGGCTGTTTGCTTTGCTATTTCTGCCTGCATCTTTTCCTTCGACAAGGCAAATGTTTACAGTTCAGTTCAGAAACACACCAGAAAAACTGAACATACCATTTCAGAACAGAATTAGACTATTTTTGTAAATTATCCATGTTTTTTTATTTCAGTGAATTTTTCTTAAAGCAACGGGTTTTGTTTGTGTTCTAGAAGACATGGTTTAATAATTGTGGTGGTTCTTTCACAGCAGCAGTTGTTTAATGAATGAATATTTTCATTTTAAAAAATTGGGTAATGCCTAAGTCAAATTTGTGCCTGAAAATGTACTTACGTCACTTACAGAACTGTACTTCTGCCAGTGTCCCAAATGCTGTGCTGGCCTTTTGCTACGTCATTGATCTGAACAACTCTTGAGTTTAGTTTCTAAGTGATGAATGTGCTTTGAATGTATGCCTTTCATTTTTTAACAGAATTTGACTTCAGTAAAATAATGTGCTGCTTCTTGCCTGGTAAATAAAGCAAATTAAACCTATGCTTCTCCAAGCTGTGTGAAATTTTTTAATATTATTTACTTCTAGTCATTAGTGAGTGAATTTTGTTTGTCTGACAATGACTTTTGCTATTCATGAACAGATTGGTGGTCATACATTGTGAACACCACTTGTAGAAAGACCACTTTCAGAAAATACTGTGCTGCTGTTCTAAGTCCCTGAAATAACACAGATTGTTGAGACAGAAGTGGATGAGAATGCAGTCCAAACCAAGCAAGGGAGGGATCAGAAACATGAAACATATGGATTGTTACGGGGAGGGGAGGGGGAAGTCCAAAGGTAAACAAAAAAAGTAGGTACATAAAGATTTTCAGCTTGCTAGTCCAGTCTGCTGCTGTGGAGCCTTTACATTTGGACACATTCTCCCAGGCAAAACCAGTGCAGATGCTTTTCAGGTACTGGAAAAATAGCTTAACCAACTTTCCATATTTCCTGATGTTTTTTTTAAACTTAAATTGCAGGAGCCAGAGCTTGAAGCTTGACAGGAAGAAGGCTATAGATCTAACATACCTTTTTCTGCTTTTGATACGGTTGTGGTTTAAGCCCTGCTGATAACTCGGAACCAAGCTGCTCACTCATTCCCCTGCCTTCTTCCCCTCCACTCCTGGAGGAATGGGGAGGAGAATCGAAAGAATATAGACCCCATGGGTTGAGATAAGAACAGTCCAGTAACTAAGCTACAATACAAAACTACTGCTGCTACCACCAATAATAGCAGTGATAAGGGAAATAACAAGGGGAGAGAATATAAAATTAAAAGCAAAAAGGAAAAGCAAACAAAAAACAAGTGCTGCACAATACAATTGCTTGCCACCCGCTGATTGATACCCAGACCAACCCAAGTAGCGATCTCGGCCTTCCGGGCCCTGTTTATGTACTGGGCATGACGTGCTGTGGTATGGAATACCCCTTTGGCCAGTTTGGGTCAGGTGTCCTGTCTCTGCTTCCTTCCGGCTTCCTGTGCCCCTCCTCACTGGCAGAGCATGAGAGACTGAAAAGTCCTTGGTCTTGGTCCTTGGAGTAAACATTACTTAGCAACAACTAAAAATATTGGTGTGTTATCAGGACTGTTCTCAGACTAAAGTAGAAAACACAACCCTGCACCAGCTACTAAGAAGGAGAAAAATGACTGCTACAGCTGAACCCAGGACAGATATCTAGCCAAATCAGATAGCTGGCCTTAGACAATGTTTTTCATTGTTGTTGTCTTTGCCCCTAGACAATTTCAGTGAATTGGATTGAAGCCATAAAACTTGGGTTTGGATGTTCTAAGAGAAAGTTGTTTCTGGGTGTCCACTTTCAATCCCCCTTGTTTTGTTTTTGCATTCTGTAGCGACATATAAAGATAACTTCTTTTAATTTTCTTGCTTTATATACTGAGTACTTAGAGCATCACGGGACAGTATGGCACAGAGCAGATCCATGGGTGGTGAGTTTTGTTACGCATTTCTATTACAAATTCTTTATACATAAGGCTAGATGATAACACTAGGTAATGATAATGAATTGGGAAGACGGACACATCTAAAGAATTACTGTCAACAGTTCAATGTCCGAGTGGAAACCAGTAATAAGTGGTGTCCCTCAAGGGTCTGTGCTGGGATCAATACCGCGTAGTATCTTTGTCAGTGATGTAAGATTGTGGGATTGAGTTTACGCATGACACCAAGCTGAGGCAAGCTAGTTGATTTGCTGGAGGGGAAGGTTGCCGTCCAGTGGGACCTTGACGGGCTTAAGGTGTGGGCCTGTCAATTATGGGATTCTCATGAAGTTCAACAAGGCCAAGTGCAAGGTCCTGCACCTGGGTCAGGCCAACCCATGGCATCCACCCTTGGCATCTTTACAGGCTGGAGGATGAAGGAATTGAGAGAGCAACCCTGTGGAGAAGGGCTTGTGGATACTGGTGCATGAAAAATTGGATGTGAGACAGCAATGTGCTCTCACAGCCCAGAAAACCAGTTGCATTCTGGGCTGCAGCAAAAGACAGGTGACCTGCATGTCGAAGGAAGTGCTTCTGCCCCTCTGCTCTGCTCTGGTGAGGCCGCAGCTACAGTACTGCATTCAGCTCTGGGGTCCTCTGCACAGGAAAGACCTGATGAAGCAGGTCCAGAGGAAGGCCAAAAAGATCATCAGAGGGATGGAGCACTCCTATGGGGAAAAGCTGGGAGAGTTCCAGTTCAACTTGCAGAAGAGAAGGCTCCAGGAGACCTTATTGTGGCCTTTCAAATGGGGTTTATAGGAAAGGTGGAGACAAATTTTTTAGCACCACCTGTTGCAAAAAGGACAAGGAGGAATTAATTTAAACTATAAAAGGGTACAGTTAGACTATATATAAGGAAGAAATTTTTTACGATGAGGGTAGTGACACACTGGATGAGGTTGCCCAGAGAGGTTGTGGATGCCTCATCATTGGAACTGTTCAAAATCAGGTTGGACAGAGAAAGATGTCCCTGTCCATGGTGGGGGATAGGGCTAGATGGGTCTTTGTAGGTCCCTTCCAATCCAAACGATTCTATGATTCTGCAATACCTATTTGCTCTGTCAACATAGGCATGGTATGTGAAGATGTCTCGTGCAGAATTAATACACAATGGTAGTGTGTTTTTTCAAAGCTTAGCATGGATTTTATTCTCTTGGAAATGTATTGGGAGATGCTTATCCAGCAGACTATACAACAAAGATGGTAACTGGCAAGAAAAGCATAGGTAGTGTAATTATATAAAGATAGGCCAAATAGCTGGTTTTAATTGTCTTTCTGAACAGTCCTAAGAAAAATACTGAACTTACTGTAGGAAGTACTGCAGTTATGCTAGAGAACAAGATACAGACATAATGCACTGCATCACCAAAACCAAGTAAACGTTCTAGCAGAGTTGTGATTGGACTCAAAATGTCTCATTTGACAGGAGTGAGACAATGACATACAGAGGACTTCATTGATGGAAATGACTTCTCTTCTGTTTGACTGTTCCTCTGTGACAATTCTGGTTTTTTACAACCATTATTCAGTCCATTTGCTGTGGTGGATTTGGATTGCCACCTTCTGGTGTGGAGTATTGACGCTGCTCCTATATTTTAACATCAGAATCAATGCTAACAAATACTAGCTGGTGGTTCTTGGAAAATCACATCTTGGCCTAGTAAACAGCTTATGGGGATACAGGGTGCTATATTGTTGCTGTTGCTTATTGTTGTTCAGTTTCCAAACACTTTAGGCTCCAAAATGAACGCTTTTCGAAGTTGACTGATGTCTCTGCTCCTCTTACAGAAACTTTGTGTCTTCTCTGGGTTAAACATAACCTGTTGCATACTTACTGCTACCACTGACATCTTTTATACCAAATATTGTATCTTACCAAAATTAACAAAGCTTTCAGTGGGACCTTTCAGGACCTGACTGATTTTTACGTGTGTTTCCCAAACCCTTATATTTTAAAGCCTTGTTTAAACCATGACTACTTCAACACAGGTAGCTACACAGTGACCTCTGAGAAAATGAAGCAGCTTCACTTTATTTTGCATGTCTCATGCAGAGTGGATTAGAACTGTGGGAAGCTTGTTAAAGCATTAGCTAGTGAAATTTAACCTTACATTTTTCAAGCCTACTTTTCATTCTCCAGAGGAATTGTCCTAAAGTAACACCTTGATTTTTTTTATGGCCTGAATGCTTTCAAGGTTTTGAGGGTAGAGAGATCCCCCCTACAGCTAGCAGGAGCTCCTGAAAAACAGTCAGTCCATCATGCTTTTATGCAGGATTTGCCTTGGGGGAATAGAAAAATGCAGCTGGGAAACAGTGAGTATATTGGAAATAAATGCTGAAAGCCTAATTTTCTTCCCTATGTGTACAGAGGGGAGATTGAATGGAAGTGAGTGATTGTAAATAGCACAGGTGCACAAAGGAGGAGGCATGACAGTATTAGCCAAAACCAAGCGAAATACAGAATTGGTAGCTGACTGATTCCTTATAAAATTTTCCACTGGGCTCCAAAGCTTGGAACTACACAAAATGTTCAGATCCACGCAGACCACAAGCGGAAGTGCCACTGCAGGGTATGTTCAACACAAATAATGAATGCATGAGGAAGACATACACCCACTTGCAGGAGCTTTTGCCCGACTGTGCCTCTGGTGGCATTCATTAGGAGTTCTGCTTCATCTTGGTGCATGAGTCACAGGCAGCAGCTCTCCTTCTGCTCTGACTATAGA